TTATTATTATTAGTTTTTTATTGTTGTCTTCAAAATCCCTTGGTCTACTTTAAATTATTTTGGGACTAAATTCATTTTGTTTTTGGCCAAGACATCAGACATTTGGATAAATGATAAAAGACTTTTAACAAATAGTTTAGTGTTTATGTGATTGAACAAACAGCATTGCATGCAGTTATTGTCTTATGTTTCCCAGGGACACCGTGGTCTTGAATAATCTTAATAATAATCCCGACACTTCAGTTTCATTTGCAATTTTCAGCCTCTACATATCAAAATTACACAATTATATTTTTAGAAATACAATTACATRTTTTAACACAAATGACTTGAATTGGTTGCTTTAACAGTGACGTTTGTTTGACAGAATACACCACTGAATTCATGCATTTTTACAAGGAGCACTGGTGTCCTTTAAAACACAACATTTTCATAGATAAGAATGTTGAGCTTCTAACCGGGCAAATATAGAAGTAATTTCACTTCCTGAACAGGTGCTRGTCCCCTCTGAGTCCTCCTTTAATCTTACAGCAGAGGGAGGCAGAAACAGTGGGCATTAATGGTGTTTACTCACAGGKGAAATGCAAATGTATGCAAAGATTTTTAAATGTTTAAAACGCAGCACTAACCTTTACTTTAAGTCTCGAGGAAAATGCTTGAAAGGTTTTATGAAAGAAAGGATCAACGCAAAGACCCCCTCATTCTGTTTATTGYACAGACGTATCACCACAAATATTCACTCAAACCATGTGAGTTTTACAAAAAAGACCCCCCAAACACATCCTTCCAAAGAAAATTATTTCAGTGAGCACATTTTTAAAAGAACTGTGCAAGGTGTGGCAAAATGAAGACCTGTAACACAGATCAGCCACTTTTAAAAACAAAACAAACAAAATACAAACTCTTATCTGGGCCTGCTACTGCTGCAAAAAAAAAAGGGGGTTAAACAGTGGTAAATATTAATTTTAAACATTTCAAACCAGGTAATTGGATCAAAAAATTTAAAACACATTAACTAGTTTCACAACTGCAACCTTAAAAGTTTTAATTCAAATTCAAACAAGAATAATGGTCATGCATTGCAACCATTATTATTTATATCGGTGAACTCTCTTTGTGTAAAAGCCATCTTCWGTGTTCAACTGAAAGAAAATAAGTTTTCAAAGTGGTTTGTGAAAATACATAACTTGATAAAACATTAGATTGAAGACATTTTTAGGTGTATAGCCTTACAAGTGCATTAGTTAACTAACCCTGTCAGCATTTTCATCTTCACTGGAACATAAACACAATCGTCTTCTTTTCACAGTTATTTTGGTAAAAATGTAAACAAATTCATGAAAACTAATTTGTATTAGTATGTTTTGTACTTCTTTTGAGTAAATACAAATTTTAGACAATAATAAACAAATAAACAAATTAGTATAAAATTAATTAACATTTGTTTAGAATGAATCATATATTTTGCCTCTTTAAAGTTTAAGTAGATGTTTAAACAAACTAAATACTTAAACTGTTTTTTTTGTATCTGTGTGTGTGATTTGAATTGAACAAACAAGGTAATATTTATGACTCAACCAGTTTTTGAAAAGTTACAAGTATGTGTAGTCCAGTTCTGAAAAAGTTAGGACAGTGTGTAAAATGTAAATAAAAYCAAACTGCAATGATTTTAACTTTTACACAACTCACAATGAAACACATTAAAGTTATTAATTGGTTAAACTATAAAAATCTAGAATATAAATAAATATATAAACACTTCTCAGACAAGTTAGAATCATGTTTCACTGTGAAACAACCTCTTCTTTTATCAACAAACTCAAAGCATTCAGCTGAGGAGAGCTGGAGTTTTTCAGAAGGATCTCATTCTTGTCCAGGATTGTAGTTTTGGAACTTCTGTTCTAAAATTTTCACTGAATGGGAACATTATTTTTTCTTTTGGCTGCTCCCTTTATCAAAAGGTTTGCCACAGCAAGTGAACTTGCACAATTATTTCTGTCAGATGCCCTTCCTGACACAACTTCATGTGTGGAGCAGGGGGGCTGCTCAGGGTGCCCGGGGGGAGCAGATGTMGGGGGGTTAAGGGCCTTGCTAGAGGGATTTGAAAAAAAGCACTTCTCGATCACAGGCTTGCCTCTCTAACCTCTGCACTACTTCTCTTCTTAGATGGCAGCATTGTTGTAAAACCTGTAAGCTGTTCTCTATTAATACCTGAGGTACTAATGCACCCCTATACTATCAGAGAGGCAGGCCTTTGAGCTTTGTGATGATAACATCCGGGTTCTCTGCTCCTCCAAAAAGAAAAAAAAGAAAAACAAAACTTGAATTCACCACAGAACAGTTTTATATTTGTCTCAGCTCTTAAACAAGCTGTGGCACAAAAAAAGGACAATAAAGTTTCTTAATTCACGTGACTCTTTTGTGAGTAAAACTGGGTTTTTTGTTTACTTTTTATACAGCCTAATTTTTTTGCTATTCTAGTCTAAATATTAGGATATATTTGCGTTAACCGAGTTAAAAAAGTTAAAAATGAACTATTTGTTTGAGAAACTAATGTAAAATTTGGTTTTGAATTTAACTAATAAATTTAAATGGGATTTAGAGTTTACATAGGAAATCTTACCTCCAGTTATTKTTTCTAATTTACCCAAATAAAACCAGTGCAGGCTGACACACCAGTTCTATTGGTGAACTTGAAACAGTATGTTTTGTGTTGTGCGGTGATATGAGCGAAGAAAACGGAACGCATTAGGTTTATTTTGGGACAGGACACTGGTTGGAGTCACGGTGAAGGGCAGAGATGTGAGACTGCAGCACGGCGCGCAGTGACGCGCTGCATCCACTGGGGGAGGACCGAGCACCGCCTGCATGCTGCAGTACAGGGACCACTTTCTCTCCATCATCACACACACACACAAATATACTCTGTCACACACGCACATACACACATAATGGGAGGGATACAGGAGTAAAGGTAGGGCTATAGCGGCTGACAGATGTGTGATGCTCAGACCTGACCGTGGGGCTTTTTCCCCAAACCTGTGCCAAGCGCAACTTTTACCTATCCTCCTTTTTTTTCTTTTTCTTCTTCTTTCTGCTCTGGATCGTATGGAGCTGTCATTGATGCCAACTCGCACCTGATTTCCTCCCCTCCGCATTTTCCTCTTTATTTTTCCCTCCCTTTTTTTTTTTACTCCACGACCATTGTTGTCAGCATACCAAGAGCGATGCCGCAGAAACGGGGGCTCAAGTGCCAATAGATCCTGTTGAATTTAGACGAGACGTCGACGCGCAGCCACCCCGACAAAAAAAAGGTGCCCTCCTCAGAGTGCGTCAGAGCACGGATGTATCTGCTGGATGTGGATGTGGACATGGTCGCCCGTTGGATACGACGAGGGATTCTTGATCTTACAACCCAAATCCAAGACGAGGATGTGAGCACAGAGGGAGAGCTGCATCCTCCGACAGATTTCTTCTCATGAAGGATGAGGAGGATTTATCTGGCCCCTTTTCAGACGTAAGCGTGGATGTCAGAGCGGCACTTCACAGAGACWATTTTGCGCGTAATGATTAATGTCTACATTTATTTCTCACAGAGCTTAATAATAATAATAATAATAATAATAATAATAATAATAATAATAATAATAATAATAATAATAATAATAATAATAATAAGCTGGTGAAGTTGCGTGATGTGCGTATCTTCCTTATAAATTCCACTCTAAGCCGACGGCTGTTATTTATTTGTGTTGTTTTGTCTTCTCTCTCTCTGTCGCAGCTCCTGAGAGCATCACAGAGGAGGAGAAATAAAAAAAAAGTCATTCAGATCCAACGGAGCTTCGAAGAAGCAGCAAAACAAATCCTTCCTAAAGAGAGAAAAAAAAATCTCATCCCATAAAATGGCAACCGCGGCTGACYGCGGAGGACCAAAGGACGCGTCTGAGCGCAACCCGCTGAGGGGTTAAACCACCTGATGGGCGCCGGGGGAACCGAGGAGAGACTGCTCCGGTGTCGCTTGTTGACTCGGTGATTTATCATGCCGAGCTCCTGCAAGTTTTGACCAGGCGTCTGCGTAACAGGCTACATGCCACCGGCCTTCCTCGGGTTTTTGTTTTTATTTATTCATTTCGGGGTTATGGTAATGATGTCATAAATAAAAATAATAACAATCGATCCAATAAACAATAAACACCCAGCTGGGCGCGAAGGAGGATGGACGTGGACCCCAGTCAGTATGGACCTAACTGAGGTGTGTTTGTTGTTTTGACTTTCTTCCATCTGATTGGTCGGAACGGACGCTCTGACCGTCCGTCGGTGCGCGCGCCGAGCTGCAACTTGTGCGTCCACACGTCCGCTGCGCCTCCGCGGATCGGCTTRAAAGAAAATACAAAAGAACAAGAAGAAAACCTATTCATATATATATWTTTTAAAACAATGGAGTTTGCCATGGTGGGCGCGGACGGCGGGTGCAACAGCCACCTGCCATACGGATATGCCCAGGCTCGCGCGCGGGAGAGGGAGCGCGAGAGGGAGCGCCAGGCGTCGCGAGCGGCGGCCGCGGCCGCTGCGGCCGAGGGTGCGGAGGGAGGAGGGGGAGGGGGTGGAGGTGGAGGAGGACCCGGCTCCACCGCCTCCTCCGGCGCTCATCTCCTTAACAACCGCCAGCATCAGTCTCGCGCCTCCTCCTCCGCGAACATCAGCAGCAGCGCCGCCTCGCGCCCCTCCTCATCCTCCTCCTCCTCCTCCCAGCAGCAGCAACAGCAGCAGGAGCCCGAGCAGCAGCAGCAGCAGCAGCAACAGCACAGAGAGCGCAAAAAGCAGCGCGGCGTCGGACGCTGGAGGCGCAACCGGAGCGCACTTGGCGGAGATCTGCGCCACTCGGAGCTGGCGCTGCTCGGATCCGAGGAGGAGATCATGATCGAGGAGGAGGAGGAGGAGGAGGAGGAGGAAGAGGAGGAGGAGGGCGCGCAGGGAGAGGGGGGCAAAGGGGAGGAGGAGGAGGAGGAGGGGGTCCGAGCGAGCAAAAGGTCGAGCTTTCTGTGCCACATGATGATGGATGATGAGGAGGAGACGGACCGGCGCCCTCAGTCCGGCTACGAGAACGTCTACAGCGAGTGCGGCTGCTGCGAGCGCGTGGTCATCAACGTGTCCGGCCTGAAGTTTGAAACTCAGCTCAAGACTCTCACGCAGTTCCCGGACACGCTCCTGGGGGACCCGGACAAGAGGATCAGGTACTTCGACCCGCTGAGGAACGAGTACTTCTTCGACCGGAACCGGCCGAGCTTCGACGCGATCCTGTACTACTACCAGTCCGGGGGGCGGCTAAAAAGACCCGTCAACGTCCCGTTCGACATCTTCTCCGAGGAGGTGAAGTTTTACGAGCTGGGCGACGAGGCCATCCTGAAGTTCCGCGAGGACGAGGGCTTCGTGAAGGAGGAGGAAAAGCCTCTGCCCGAGGACGAGTTCAAGCGCCAGATCTGGCTGCTGTTCGAGTACCCGGAGAGCTCGAGCCCGGCCAGGGGGATCGCGGTGGTCTCCGTCCTGGTCATAGTCATCTCCATCGTGATCTTCTGCCTGGAAACGCTGCCGGAGTTCAGGGATGAGAAGGAGTATCTGCAGCCGCGGCGCAACAACTCCTCTCAGCCCGACCCCAGCTTCACGCCCTTCAACGACCCCTTCTTCATCGTGGAGACGGTGTGCATCATCTGGTTCTCCTTCGAGATCATCGTGCGCTTCTTCGCGAGCCCGAGCAAGACGGCGTTCTTTAAAAACATCATGAACTCCATAGACATCGTGTCCATCCTGCCTTACTTCATCACCCTGGGCACGGACCTGGCGCAGCACCAGGGCAACGGCCAGCAGGCCATGAGCTTCGCCATCCTGAGAATAATCCGCCTGGTCCGGGTGTTCCGCATCTTCAAGCTGTCGCGGCACTCCAAGGGCCTGCAGATCCTGGGTCACACGCTGCGCGCCAGCATGCGCGAGCTGGCCCTCCTCATCTTCTTCCTGGTCATCGGGGTCATCCTCTTCTCCAGCGCGGTGTACTTCGCCGAGGCGGACGAGCCCACGTCGCAGTTCACGAGCATCCCCGACGCCTTCTGGTGGGCCGTGGTCACCATGACCACGGTGGGCTACGGCGACATGAAGCCCATCACCGTGGGGGGCAAGATCGTCGGCTCCCTGTGCGCCATCGCGGGCGTCCTGACCATCGCGCTGCCGGTGCCGGTCATCGTGTCCAACTTCAACTACTTCTACCACCGGGAAACGGACAACGAGGACCAGACGCCGGCGGTGGAGAGCATGCCCCCGGGTTGCCCCTACTTCCCGGACTTCCTGAGGAAGTTCAAAGGCTCGCCCTCCGGCTCGTCGCTCGGAGACAAAGCGGAGTACATGGAGATGGAGGAGGGGGTGACGGAGTCGCTGTGCGGCCTGGACAAAAGCCCCAGTAAAGGGAACGGCACGGACATAAGCAGGAAAAACAGCACGAACTCTAAATCTATTCAGACTGACGTGTGATTACAGATTTATTTAGATAGTTTTTTTTTCCAAAGAAGAAGACACTTTCTGCTCAACAACAACAACAGCTGAATCCCCTCCTTAACCCAACACAAGTTTTACGCACGCCTCAAAGTC